AACCTGTCTTCTGGCCAGACCAGAGGTTTGTACCAAAGTGGGGCTCTGTTTGTTACCACCCCCACTTTGGAAAAAAGCAGTTGTACATTTGCAAATAAATATGCTGTTCAGCAGAATGCCAGCTCTTCCATCAGTTACTTTCCTGAACGGGAGACTTTCCCATGAGATGCTGGATGTCTGCTGCCATTTCCCAGAGGAGGTTAGTGCCGAGGGCGTTGGTCTGTTTTCTGAAACAGATTGACAGAGTTGTCCCTATGTGTCATGAGAGCTTTTGGTAAAATTAGATTCTGCCCTGTCCATAACAATAAAGGCCATACCCACATGCAGCTTACACAGTTCATATACTTCCTGGAGCAAAACCACAGCAACGTTCAACTGTCTGTTTTCTTTTTTTTATTTTCACAATGGCTCCTGCTTCAAAAGCAGGTATCTGACTGTTGGGTCCCACCGCCACTGAGCGCCTGCGGGTGAAGAAGTACGCAGCACGGTTCAGGCAGAATATATTCGTCGGTGTAGTGCAGAGAGGTTGGCACCATTCTGTGCCAGTGGTCAGGCTCCAGTTTTTGTAGTTAATTGTTTAAACAACAACAAATGTTGTTGCTGTGATGATCTGTGTGCTTCCCTCTGTTAGACCTGATTTGTGTGGTGAGGACAGGCTACTGAAAGGAAGAGAAGGGCTTGAATTATCCCCTGTGACTTTGCTGAATTGTCCTTGTGAATGGAAAGAGAGTGAAATATTTGTCTGCAGGGGGGAGCAGAGTGGTAACCATCAGGAACAGCTGGAACATATATACTGTGTCATGTCTTTTTGTGATACTGGGCTTTTCTGCTTGCTTTGGGAATGCTGCAGAGGCATGTTAGCATTTTGCTGAGTAAGTGTGGTGAGAGCTCCATATGTAAACAGGGATCAGTCACTAGATGAGAGAAAAGGGCTGTTCTCCCAGGGCCACGGCTGTCTGTTGCATACACCTCAACCTTCACAACCCCTGCAGGGTTTTGTAAATTAAATGTGGGGCTAGATTCTGGGAAAACACATGTTTGTGGGAATGTCACCCCAGATAACTCCGGTGTCTCTTCCTGCTTTGACACCTACAAATTTGTGAACAAAATAAATCCTCATGATTCTTCCCATCTTCTCCATCCCAATTATTCTTCTGTCTACAGGGGAGCAAGGACCTTCACTGCTCTCAGTATTAATAACACCACCACCAGTTGCTCTGCAACATGGAAATGGGCAAGCTTAAATAGCATGCTTACTTCTTTAAATCGGTTGCCTGTAGGGTCATGAAGGAATTTCCCACCAAAAGCAATCAGCCAATTTGTTCTCTTCTGTTTCATTAGTAGTAAGGTGTCACTTTTCTCTGAAACCTCAGTAGCCTAAGTGAGGAAAGGAGAGGAGTAGACCAGTACTTTCATGACAAGCAGAGAATTCCTCTTAGGTATCTGGCTGACGTGAATTGCACACACGTTCAGGGTCAAACTGATCGTGCTTACTCTGGTCTTTGCTGGTGGCACACATGCGGTTAGTCTGGTGAGGACAAACACTGACATGATCCAAATAAAAGCAGATGCTTTAAATTTGATTGGGACATATCAGAACATGAGTGACGTGTACAATTTGTGTAGAATAGAGAATGATTTTACCTTCTGGGGTTTCAATTTATGTTTTATATTCTATTTATTTTTACTTTCTCTGTAATCATGTCTCCAGTTCATATCCAGGAAGGCTTCTCAGCTTTTGACTTTATTCTAGGAAGTGTCACATCAAGAAAAAAAATTCTCTCTTGTCAGACTATGAAGATTTGCTTAGCCTGGCTCTGATCTCATACAGAAAGACAGAGATTTTTATCCTAACTGCAAGTCATTTTGGTTTGGGTTTTTTCAGTGGTCAGTCATTTGTGAGAACATTCCTGTAGCTCTGCCTACAGCAGATTTGGAGAGGCCAGCACCGCTGGTTGATGTTATTGTTGCCAAGCAAAACCTGATCTCTTTCAAGGTAACTATGTGATGTGTATAAAAAGCGAGACAAATAAACCTAAGCAAACATATGTAATGCTACGCTTTCAAACTTTTCGGCATTGCAATAATATTAAGAAAATAATTTTTATTTTTAAACTTTTGAATTGGGTTTTGCCAGTGATTTCAGCATATATATTCCAAACATACTTGAAGTCCGAAACTAAATGCTAATGGATAAATGCAAAAACTGGAACTAAAATAGAACACCCCAAGGGTTTTGCAGAAATGTTCAGCCAAAATCAATTTTTCCTTGCTCTTCTTTTCTTCACTTCCCATTCTGTTTCCAGCCTCAGCTCACTCTCTACATCTGTCTTCAACTGTAAGATTTTTAAAATAAAGACCCTGTCATTTGCCATCATGATGAAGGATTTAAGTAAAGAATTTTGTAATTTAGAAGAGGCTGACAAATTTGTGCGTGGAGCAGGACAAAAGTGAAATCCCGCTTCTTCCATCAGGGTTAGATGCAATTCATTTTTAAGTCTGCTATTGTCAAACACATACGTTAGCAGGACAATGAAAATCATTAGGCTAAGAAAATAACTTTATTTGCTCTTTCAATGTGTGGAGCACAAATACCAAGAAGGCACAGCAGCTTTCATAACAAACATGTTAACCCCCACATGCTCTGCTTAATTATGATTTCTGGCTTCCTGTATTTCCCCTGAGGCTACTGGCACCATAAGTAAACTGGCACAGATTTTATTTATTATGAATATGCTGAGCTCCAATGTGCAAGTAGTTCAGCAGGTGCTTCACAAGCAACTGAGCCGTTCCAGCAGCGAGGACAGGGGCCGTCTGATGGAGGAGCGACACATCGAGCAGGGAACAGAATCCATGTACCCCTCCCTGTCACCATGGCTACCACTCAGCAGGCATTTTTTGGGCAGAAGTGCCAATTTAAGCAACTGCTGATTTCTTGTTACTGCCCCTGCATCACCCCCTCCATTGGTCAGGTACGAGTGTACAGTAGGCCACAGAATTTATCAGACCAGGAAACTAGTCCTGATCCAGCTGGAAAATAATCTTTTTTTCTACTCATTCCTTTCCAGTCGGTTTTCTGATTCACTTCATTCCACAGCCACACAAATACACTGTGCCTGTGTCATGCAGGAGATGGCAGATGGGCAGGGACAAGTGGCTTAAGAGATGGGGAGTGCTGGTGATTTCAGCAGTGTTGTCACTGAGCACGAGCAAAGATGGAGCCAGGGCTCTTGTTACAGCTGTGGTTTGGTATTCAGTGGTCAGATCCGTTGGGTCGTCCAGGTTCCTCACCACCTCCCCATCTCCTCTGCTGCCTTGTCGCAAGCAGAACCTGACGGGGCAACCCATCTGCCTGAAGAATGACCCAGTAAAAAATGGGTATCGTTATGACAGGGGCAACACATGAAGTATATCACAATTCATTTCATTTTGGCAGAGTAATGCTTTAAAGCCTTCAGGTTTAAGGCTACCAAATCTGTCAGAGTGACACAGTCAAGTCACATGTGGAAGGAAAGTGTGACTTTCCTTCCCTAAATCACTTACATGGCTGGATGCGTCTCTCCAAGGAGAAGTGTTAGAAAGCCTTGTTCACAAACCTGCTATTAAACATGTGAGGTTGTTAAAACATGGCTGTGGATAAAGGATTAACGGAGCTGAGTGAAGGTGGTAGTAGAATGTCAGGTTGGGAATTAAATAATATTGCAAGGCTGCCTGAAAGTCACTTACTTTCAAAGAAAAACCTATCTAGAGGAGTCACACCACAGTAGAAATAAATTGTTTATAGTTTATTCATGGCAGTTTTCATTTATGGTAAGATTCTTTTAAGACCAGTGATAATGTCAAGCACTAGCAACAGGGATGCTATGAGTTTGTACAGATTTATTTACATGGTTATGTAACTGTACATAGGGCATATATTTATATATTATATTCCATTTATAGTACATATTATGGTAAGTATGATAAATACATATTGCCACAACATTTTTGCTTAAAATCTTGAAAAAAAACCAAGCATGGTTTCCAGTTTCTCAGATTCCGGCAGTGACACTGCAAGCCGTTGTCAGCCTGCCTGGCCAAAGAGCTCCAGCACAGCTGTGAAAAATCCTGTGCAAACGTCCAACTCCCACCCAGGCCTGACGCCGCTAACCACACCTTGCGGAGTTGGGCTCCGCCGCCTGCGCGGTGCCGAGGCAGGGGCCTGCGAGACTCCTCGGGAGTTACAGACCCATAAAGCCCAGTGAGGAATTGCTGCGTCCGCTTTAAATCTTAAGTCAAAGCTATAAGCAACTTCTTAAAAATGGAGGCGAGCTGCCTTGTCCTTGAACAGCCAGGAGTTTCCCATCCTGGAGAGAGGCGCTAACTCCAAGGACATCAGCAATGTTATGTGCTCTGTGGATGTATTTTTTAGGAATTGCAACCTGTCTCCCTGAAGTCACTTCTGAAAAAGCCCATTTGGAAAAAATCTGCAACGATGTGACCAGAAAAAAATCAAGTTTATTCATTGTAAACTCATACAGGGGAGCAAACGCCACTGAAAACAAACCCCGTTAAATCCACCGAGCGAGGAAGTTTGGAGGCGGTGGGCCAGGCAGGTGGCCGAGGCTGTAGCGGGCAGTGCGGGG